TGACAGCTTTGATTAATATTAGGGAAGTATTTAATGTGCTTTTGACTTCATTGAATAATTTAATATCTAAGAACATGGTGTATAACAAATTAAGGAGCAGATGGTGAGCGGAGCTGTCGTTCGGCAGTGCCGGAGCCGTGCGGCTGAACCGGCGCAGTACCGCTGGCAGTTTGCAGCTTAGGGTTTGGCAAATGCTGGTCCTCAGTGAAGCCAAGGGTAGAGCCCTGGGTCTTGTGCTTCCAGCCTTTGCTGCTGTATCATTCTTTCTGTTTGTTGTTTTTTTTTTTTTTTATTGTGGAGGGCATCTGTAAGTTTTAGTGTGATTTTGAGGAAAGTAAATCTTTCCTTTGCAGAAGGGCTGGATTTGAGTTTGTTTTGCAAACACGACTATGAGAAATGAAGGGATTTTGGTGGAGTATTGAGCAATGTTTAGTAGACACTTTAAAAAAAAAAAAATCCACCCCCTTTCATGGCCTAGTTTATAATAACTTAAAAAACTGGCATGAAGAACATTTACAAGTTCAAAATTAAACAGGTCTGTTTATAGTAGCCATGATTCTGTATTTAACTGCCAGGGTAAAAATAACCAAGACATGTGGCTGTAACGTCCCAAGAATCTGCCCCTCTCTCGGGGAAATGGGAAAGCGATGGCTGCTGGGGTAGCACAGCCAGCCCGAGATGGGAGGTGCTGGAGTTCACACAGACATCTGCGCGTTTCTCTCCCAAATCTGTAAAATGCTGACAGCACATTTCCCCTTGGAAATGTTAAATATTTTGGTTTCCGCATGTGAAAATCAGACCGCTAGAAAAAGGGAGGTGTGGGTGATGTGCAAGCCAGCACTCCAAAGAAGGTTATTCTCTCTTTTTTTTTTTTCTCTTTTTTTTTCCCCTCCCCTAAGGCTGGGTAAGTTGTGTTTGCTCCCTGCCCCTCTCTCCTCTATCCCAGGGACATCTTTCCCTATCTTCCTCTATCCCAGTGCATGTTTCTGGGGAACAGCAAGAAAGCAAAATACATGTCAGGCTAACACTGCACGTGGTTGCAGAAGCTGCACCTTGAGAGGCCATTTCATGTTGTCTCTAGGAACTGATGTTTGTGGTTTGGTGTGTTCTCATTCGGTGCCTTGCTTTTTTCTGTTCCTTTTCTCTCACGCTTTTTTAAACTAGGGCTGTGCGTTGTGCTTCTTGAGTGAAAATGCAGTCTGCATTGCTGAGTTGTCACCTGTCTTCAGTCCTGTAGCTGAGACTGTCAGTGCTTTCACTAAAATCCCTGTGTTTTCAGGTGTGTACAGATTGGATCCAAGCACATGCTTGCAGCAAGAGCTGCCTGAGTGAACTCTGCTTTGCTGTAGACTCACTTCCTATGATATTTGGAAAAATATTTGACAAGGATTATGACAGCTTCATTATCTGTTTATAAAACATTTTGATTTCTGTGGCTCCGAGGTGGCATGTGCCCGCAGCTCTGGAGTGTTGGATGCAGAGCTGCTAAAAAGAAATATTTTGAAAAAAAACCAAATTACTAGGTTTTCATTTAAACTTCCTATGGTTCTAGCATTAAAAGGGGAACAATTGCTTCTTTTATCCCTTGGAAGCTTTCAGAGATGCTCCTGGGAAGAGCAAGTAGCCACATAAAGCCAGACCGTCTCAGTGGGGCATGAAGGACCAGGGATGCTTTCCAAGGGCTTGTCTCGCTGTGCCCCCGCAGCGCAAGCATGTGTCCTGCCCTGCCTGCGGATTGGGAAATACCACCTTGCCTTACGCAGCTGAAGCCTGCGAGCGCGATGGGACCCTGCTGCCTGGGCTGTTAGTGAAAGGCAGTGGCTGCCCATCGACGTTCGGGATAAGGCTGCGCTTCCCGGGCTGCTGGCTCAGGAGTCGGTGAGCGCTGGTTTCCACCCTGGGCAGGGCTGGGGGAGCCAGAACTGGGGTTGGCAGGGAAAAGCAAAATATGAGGCTTCCTGCAATACAGCACTTGCTTGGCAGACTTACCTATGGATGTTGGTCTGATACTCCAGAAACAGAGAAACACAGAGCTGTAGGCTTTTAGTAGTGAGTAGAGACTTTGGTGTAGCTGGCGCTGAACGTATAAAAGGCTGAAGACAGAAGACCTTTTGCCTGTCATAGCAGCAGGGTGTAGCCATGGCTATGATTACTGTTTGAAGTATCACTGCTGCTGCTGCAGTTCAGTCTTGCTGAGCAAAGGATTGTGATACCACAAGTATTACAGTCTTTTAAAACACATGGATGAGGAGCCAGCAGGGTTACTGGGGCAGTGGGACAGTGGCTCTGGGACTTGTCCTGCTCTTGAGGACCGTCAGGATGCTGCATCCTCTGTCTGGGTGCACCTCCATGCTCTCCCCTCCACTCTTTTCTTTTTTCACAGCTTGTAGATGCTCTTCAAGTAGCGTCACACATGTGACGTCTGTGCTGCCCGGGCAGGGCTGGGAGGACGGCCTGTCCCCTCTGTCTCGCTGCAGCGTGGGGCTGCCTGGGTGGCCAGAGAAGAAAGCGGGGGCCGGGGCACGGCAGGGCTCGTGTGTGGGCTGGAGAGGTATGGGACAGGATGCTGGATTCGTTTCAGAGGGACCCTGATAGCATCAGTGCCTGATGCTTCTGTTTCCTGCGTGCAGTGATACGGTGCCTGGAACCGGTCTGCGGTGCAGCCTCCCCGCAGAGATCATGCTGCTCAGCTGCAGAGGTACAACGCAGTTGTACAGGCGTTGTGTGTTTCTTAAAGAAACCCGATGGATTCCATAAAAAACTTTACTTTGTAGGTGTTGCAACAGTCATTGGATTTTACTATGGCAATGCCGCTTGTGAGCGGTTAAGTGATGGTTTCTCCCCTCTAAAATCACTCAGGGTTGCTGGGCTGCTTTAAACATAGCTGGCTTTCTCCTGCTTTCTTGATAGTAGAAAGTACTAAGTTTTCATCTCCTAAAATGCATTGCAAACTTGATAGAACCTCAAATAGGGTTAGGCTGACCTCAGTTTGTCTTTTGTAAGTGAAATCTTCTGTAGGGTATATTAGGGAGAAAAAGTCCGCAGGAACATAGTGATTTGACTTAAGCAGCATCCGTCTCTCCTGCAGAAGAAAGTTGTCTTTTTGTTGTGGGAAAAACAAACTGCAGGAGAGAAGAAAGAACCTGGAGAGCATGGGAAGCTCCCGAGTGCTTGGAGGTCGTAGCAGCCAGCTTTCGGGTGAGGGTTTGATTAATCCCGTTTGTCAGAATGGATGGAGTCTGTTCATCTGTTAAAAAGTGGCTGCGTCTGTTTAAACCTACCTATCGGACATGTGCTCAGCGTGCAGTGGAAGCCCAGCCAGCACCCTCAGTGGCGTTTCCAGCCCCGCTTCAGCTGCCATGTAACGCCAGTGCCTGCCCAAAATGCCAACGCCTGCCCGAGCAGCTTCACTGCGGCAAGAGGGAGCTGCGGAGGAGCAGATGCCTCCCCCTCTGCCCTGCCTCTCCCTCGCCTCTCATACAGCCGTGGCCTTCTGACTCATTTAGTACTGACTCAGTTTTTAAATATCTTTGTTGATCTGTTATCTGTAGCTTGTTCTTCAGAAACACATTTCCCCGGGTTTCTGGAGTAATGCTTTCCCACGCTGGCGCAGGCGCGGCGTGCTGCAGGTGCAAAGTTGGTGGGGAGGGAGTTTCAAGTAAGTTGGAAGAAGGGATGTGGGAGCCCAGATCCTGTTGACTTTCAATAGGAGTTGAACTGTTCTTTAAAATTCCCCACCCCTGGGTTAGCTGAACAATGAACGGTCAGAAATCAAGGGAGGATGGCTGTCAGTGTATATTTGGGGATGAAATCCATGGTATCGAGGTAGAAGGCATTGCCAGAGAAAAGCAAAAAAGTGAGACTTTGGGAATATGTGTGAACTTCTTGCAAACACCAATCAATGCAATGTCATCAAGTAACAGGTACAAGGGATTGTGGATGGAAGTGGCAACTTTGCATAAATCCAGTAAAAATTGATGTAAAGAAAACAACAGACAAGCCATTTAGATAATGATTTGAAAACAGTGCATAAGAAGAGAGAAGTACTTCTGCCTGTGATGGCAATCTTTTCCTTCCATGTCTGTGGACTGTATGTTATAGCTTTCAAATCTGGGAGACAGAAATCAGGAACTTGAAATTTTCGTTAAGGAAAAAAAAAAAAGGGAAAAAACCCCCAAAACAGCAAGTAACCTGTGCTCCTAAATGAAATTTCAAGCCAATGCGGCAGCAGGGTGAGCAGCCCTTGCCTGAGCTGATGGGAGGCGAGGAGGACCAAGCCAGAGCGTGGTCCTGCGCTGCTGCAGCTCTTCTTCTGCCTGTGCGGGGGCCGGAGGTGTAGGAGCGTTTTGGCTTCATAGCTCAGCTGCGTCTGGCCCAGCCCGCCCCAAGCAGAGCGGTAGATATGCTGTGGGTCTTGGAAAATGAGACTCGTCAGCCGTGATTACTCTGTTTCCAGACTGAAGCTTTGTCATTGAACGTGAGATTGGATGGCTGAGCTGATGCTGCTCCAGGGGGAGCCAGAACTGGGGTTCTGGCTGCATAGCACAGGGACAAGTTTTACTTCTGGCTCCAAAAGCCAGTGCAGTCCTGTATGAAACAGAAATGCGAACTTTACAGTTGTGAGCTTACTTTTTCACTTTTTAACCTGAAAAAGTTCAATTTCCTGTTGACTTCCTATGGTTTACCTTAACTGCAAATCCAGTTGGTAAAGTGGTTTTTAATGACATAATCAAGTAGAAATTGTGTTTTGCTGTTGGATTCCACCCGGCCCCCCAAATTCTTTCACTGTCCTAGAGGCAAGGTTAAATTGTGCTGGAGTTCTTGTTTTTAAGTTAATTTGATGCAAGTATTCAGAATTTGCATAGAGCTCAATTGATAAAGCAAAGAGCAAGTTTTGTAACAGGCATGTTTTGGTTTGAAACCATAAAGAGAAGATTTGATGCTTGCATATACTGTCATTTGAAAAATGATTAATTCTGGTTTGGTTTTTTTTTTTTCAGTCCCTTATAGGGAGCCTAGAAAAACCTTCAGTAGGGCTGCTAACACTGATGAGAGATCTTTTATGCCAAGGTATGAGTTTTTCTAATGTTCTCAATATATTTCAAATAAAATTGCTAACTGTGAAAACGTTGGCAGTTGGGGAAATTTAAGAATTGATGAGTGTATAATGCATTGTTTAAAATATAAAGTTGCCTGAATCTTGTTTCCTGTAGCGGGGAAAAGAAACCCTGAAGTTTTGTGTTCTGTCTTTTCTGATGTCCTCTGCTATTGTACAAAATAAAAATCTATGACTACAGTCCACAGTTTTTCATTTAAGGCTGAGTCAAGAATGTGTCTGCTTTGATTTTTAAGTCTTTTGTTATCATCCTACTTAATGGAGATTGTGTCATCAGTTACGGCCAACGTTCCATCAAGTTATGCAAAGCCATCAGACCACGTGCTCTTACCACTGTCTTCCTCACACTGAGCAGCATATCTGCACCTCCTGCTACTCATAGCTCCATCAGTGTTTGGAGAAGGAAGGAGAAACTAATAAATACAAACTGCCTTCTTCAGATGTATAAATTTGTACTTAGGCATTTGCATTTCACAGGGTGCATGTCACATTTCAGGTTCGTGTGAAGTTCTTGCACCCACTCTCTTTCAGTGCTGTGTTCGCTTATCTTCTTTGTTTATGCTTCTTTCTCCCCGTCACCTGAATTATAAACTTCTTGATGAGCTGGTGAAACTTTTTAACCGGAGTGGCTAATTTTTGCATCAGATTTATCTCCTGAAGGGCCTTGGCTGTTCTCCCCACGCCACCCTCCCGGCAGCCTCTGCCTGGCTGCTTCTGCTGGTTGAGAAATACCCTGAAAGTTTTGCTGCTTTGTACCCTGATTCAGCCAGTCGGTTGCAACAGGGTGAAAGATGATTCGTGCCGTTAAGAGAGTGCGTGAGTGCTTGGCTGAATAAAGCAGGTGAGCGGGCGCTGGAAGCTGTGTTTCAGATTACAGCTTCATTTGCATTTGCGTCCATCTGCCGGTCCTTCTCAGAGATCCTTCTGCCACCCTGTCTGCGCTGCCTTTCATTTTTGTATATTAAAACAAACATCCTGCATCTCTTCTTTACCTCTCCATCTGTTCACAGGGTGTGGCCCTATACTCTTTCTTGAGGAAGGAGCTGGGCATCCTGGGGCTGATGCTGTGAATAGCTGAATATCCATTTCTGTCACTTGCCAGGCAGCGTTGGTGGCCGTAGCAGCAGAAAAGAGATGTTCCTCTTAAAGAATAAAGAAAAGAAGAGGTTAATCCTGAGGTGTCAGGTGTTTTGCAGTGCAGAAGCAGAGTTTGTTCATTATAGATGAAATCTGAACCCTACCAATTTATTACTCTGAATTTAAAGTGGCTGTACAGGTGCTGGGTAGGTTGGAGAGTCTGATACCGCGGGGACAAGAGAGCCTGCTGCTCAGGGCAGTGATGGGTTGATATGAAACGTGCTCCGTGCCCCACAGTAGTTCTGCCGTAGCTAGGTGGCTGTGTATGGGAAAAGGGAGCACGAGCAAGGAGGCATGCTCAGCTTTTGCTTTATCTTTTTGCACCACAGCATCCAGAACTAATGAGACTGGTTTCACAACATTTACGACAACACTAAAATTGGGTTTTTTACACTGCTTAGTGATCATATTCTTTTCTTGACTTGAACAAAACACTTACTGCCCGTAATTTCATTCCATTTTGAAACGTAGCCATTGCTTCACAGCATGCAACTTCACTACATAGAGCTCTGGGTGGAAATGAATGCTACTGTGTCTAACTGTATTTAGGTGGGCATAAACAGTTGCCAAATGAAAAGTTGGCTAGGATGCAGCATAGTAATTTCTTGAGCACTCTATTCATGTTGCATAAACAGATAACTTTAACATCCTTGTGAAAGAGCTACAAGATAATTAAGGCGTGTGGGGTTTTACAGTAATAAGGCTCATGCATTTCAGGATCTTGGTTTCCTGTTGCACCTGAAAAAAAAAATCAGCAAATACTGTAGAGAAGAAATGAGAAGTAAGTCTTGTACTGCTCCCAGCTGAAACTTTCCCACAAGTATTTTTACTATAAATAAGAAGTGAAAGAGTTCACAGCTAAATTTAACCCTTAGCTTGATTGCTTTCCGGGTTTTCTTAGGTTGAACAGACTGTGGAACTGTAGGAAGGTAAAACTGGATCAATAAGTTGCATTTATACTTTATGAAAAATGCATCACCTTTTAATTTCTAAGGATTATCAAGGGGAAAACCATTGCTAATTGGAATTCCTCTCTCCTTCCCATCCAAAATCATGATTTTTGAAAGAAAGGAAGTGAATGTTACTTCTTGGGGAAATTTTCAAGCAGAAGAGCTTACAGCTGCCAGAATTTTAACCAAAAATGTTGTCAATGTACTAGAGTGCATAGACATTGCTTGTTCTGCTTTTAGATATTCAAAGTTACTGTTCTGGAAAATCCCTTTCAGTTTGACTTAATTTCACAATTTCTATGGAGTTAAGCAACTGCAGCTCACGTAGACTTCAAGAGTTGAAGAAAAACCACCCCAAGGTGCTTAAAACTATGGGCTGCTGCTGATAGCTTCAGCTTTATTCCCTCTGTAAGGCTTGGGTGAGGGAAGGGAGCTTGGCTACATGACTGCAGAGAGCTTCAGTGCATACAGGCAAGCCCTGTATTTCTGTTCTTCTGACTTAAAAATTAGCTTAAAGTTGTGCTAAACCAACTGCAGAATTTGTATGCCTCTCTCCAGCTGCATGCAGGATTTTTAAATTTTTGTTAAAGCTGTACTTGTCACGTTTAGACCATAAAACATACTGTGGTTGAGGGCTGAGGGTTAAAAGTAGGATGTTTGGGCAGGGTCTCCAGCTGCCAGTCCCGATGCAGCTCCGGTGGGGACTGGCTATGGGTGTGCGGCAGCATGTGGGTTTCCTCTTGACTCTCTGTTTTACAGCTTTCCCTTGGGAGTTTAAATGATAGAAAAAAACCTGTCCTGATTTAATGATTATATAAACTTGAGACACAGATTGTCAGGGAGTTGTCCACAGTTGCAAAGCTAAAAATACGATCCCTGTTCTTTGCAGACTGTTGTTAACGGTAGTCGACAAGGTGATACATTTCTCTATCAAACTACTTGGAATCCATTTTTATTTTTAAAGCAATCCTTAAACTGTAGCCAGTGAACCCATAAATCCTGCGGCAGCATTAGTTTGAAATGCCTTTGAGAAACGCAGCTTGCCCAGTCCTATAGCACTTGTGTTTCTGAAGCCTTACTTGGGAAGAAAGTGCTATCTTGCTGGGGGAAGAGGCGGAAGATAATTAGGTGCTGAGGTCATTGTTTGCTTGAGCACTGTTGATAGGGACAGCCCAGCCTGGCTTATAACGTAAACATAGTGTAAAATGTTTATCACCAGCTTTGTCATTTGCCTTATTTGTCAGGGATTCTCTATGAGAATGAGAAGTTTTCTGGTGCTGCTTAGTGAGTGGAGGGAGTTGCAAGATTTCCATAAAAAGGCAGAGTCCTTGCTTGGGCAAGCAGAGAGGTTCTGCCTTGGCAGCTGTAAGTTAGGCCTGACCTTTTCCAGAGGGAAAATACTGACCTAAATCCTTCCCTGCTGGGGGTGGGTGGGAGAAGTAAACCTCTCTACTTGCATCTTTCTAATCTAATTTTCTTGTCAGGTACTCATTGTTTTACGCTATAAACCACGGAGAATGCAGAGGACAGGCAGCGAGAGCTTGTGCTGCCCAGTGCCGCTGGGAGCAGGCGCATGTGGCTGCGCCGTGTTTGTACCATGGTGTATTATTCATTCTCTTCCTCTCTGAGCACCGGCAGACTAATAGGTCTGGCTTTGGGCATCTCATATAAACTGGGGCTGTTGGAGCAGCCATCTAAATTTGAGTGCCCAGGTGGAAAAATAAAAACCGTAGCTGTTACCAAACAGATTTTTGTTCTCGGGAGTGTTTGGAGAAGGGGAGTGTGTTGCTACTTTCAAAAGACAGTGTCATAAATTTGTATGTGCAGGTATGCTTTTAACTGTTGGCTTTTTTCCTGCTTTCCAGATTGTCGCTATTTGAACAGACCACACCATGCGTGAATACAAGCTAGTGGTCCTTGGTTCAGGAGGTGTGGGGAAGTCCGCTTTGGTGAGTTTCGGGAAGCAGTTCTGAAACTGAATCACAAACTTCAAAGCTGGCCTATCTTATTGCAGATGATGCTCATTAAATGCAGTGGGATGTTTGTATTACTTTTAACACGCATAGTGACTTCCACGTAGCCACTGTTACACTGCTGAAATATCTGTGAATTTGTGTCATGGTTTTGGAGAAGCAACAGGCGATTAATCGCTGTTATAATAGCATTTTATTTCTGCTTGGCACATGGGTGTAGTATTGTAAATGACTGAATGTCTGTATCTAAGTATGAAAAGCCTAACCTACACTGGAACAGTGCATGAAGTCTTGCCTTGCATGGCAGTGAATCAGTGATGGCTGCAGCTTTGCATGCCTTGAAGGCTGTGTGTTTTCCATCCTGGATAGAACCCAAATGGGCAGCCTGGACTGGAAACACAGGACAGAAAGAGAAGTCACCTCCAGCGTATGCACTGCAGAAGGATAAGCAGACTGATGACACTTTGCACTCCTTAAGTACTTGTGTTGTTTCTAATAAGAGGTTTACATAGCAGAGTTGATAGTAAAGCATTTTAAGAGAGATTTCTGTCACCTGTTTATCACAAATCAGTCAAGCAGCTCACTCCAACAAGAAAGGCAAAGAACTGGTCAAGTGTAAAGTTATCTAAAACAAGGAACTATACAGTGTACCTTTTCACAGAAGATGATAATAGCTGACCAGCCATTCATGTCGTAGACCTGCTTCTTGTGCTGTTGTTTATTCTGCTGAAATGGGCTGCTAATAATGTTGGTAAATCACCTGCAGAATCCAGATGAACAGGAGGAAACATTATTCAATTATGCATCAAATCTGATGTATTCTTTCAGAGATCCCATCCTAACCTTTACAAGATGTAGGTGTCAAATTTCTTTGATGCAGTCTGTTCTTCCACAGCAACTTAAGCAATCTGTATTACTTTTTCCACCAGCATCCCCTTGATTATCTTCCTTTTGTTACATAACGTTGAAAGACCACTAGGTAAAATAGGGCACTTATTAATACGCTGTACATAAAAACTACTCAGTGTCTGACATACTTGGATTTCCTTATTTGTAATGTGAAGTCTGAGTCAGCATCCATCACTGGCCTTTTTAAAAGCCGAAATGCAAATACCTAGTCCGGTAAACAAAAGTTAAATTCTTTTTGACAGTCTAGGTTCTAAGTAAGCATATATTGTAATTCATATGCAACATTGATCCATTATGCTTATAACAGGATGCAATAAGTGCCAATTAGCAGCTAAGAGTGAATAATATTTAGCTTTCAAGATGACTCTACTTATTTACAAGCATTAGCAAGGAGAGGTTACAAGGTGGGATTTAAAATAATGTGGAGGTCACTTTAAAATGTCTTTCTTTGAACTGGATAAACTAAACTGTCTAACAAAGAGGCTGGTGTTTGTTTTCAGTTCTGTGTTTTTACAGTCTTGAGTGTAGATTACAATACGGTGTTGTTTCACTGCAAATCCTCCTTATTGTTTTAACTCTTCTGTGCCGATATGATGGCGATTGTGCCTTGTGGTAACAATGACTGGATAGCAGAAAAACCTTCACAGTTATTAAGGCACAGTTATTTTGCAACTTCTTTGTTTTCTGTACAGTAGTTTTCTCCCCATTTCTAATGAGGGCAAAAATCTTCTGGAGTGTCAGTGGGTAGGCAGTGTTATGAAGAGCATCCAGTTGTGGATAGTCCTATATAAACTGGAAACCAAAGTTGGGATGCACCACCCTCAAACCAAGGGAAAGTTATAAAAGTCTTAGATCCACACATAACCTGAAAACAACCTCAGATTTGTATCTTCTCCTTTGGCCTCTCTTTCCTCCTATAGTCAATAAAAGTACAGTACATCAGAGATTAAGAATATTACATAGTAAGATAGGTTATGAATGAAGTTGAATATAATCATAATTATGATAGTGTGTAACTGGTGTCTGTGTGAACACACAAGCACCAGCTGAAATAACAAAAGTTAGAACAGTGATTTATTAGAAATAAAACAATTTGAGAAGAGAATACATGGGTTCAGTTAATTTTCTTTCAGAGCAGTACTGTATTTGCAGATATAAAATAAGACTGTGAGTGTTATAGTAGAAAGATGAAATGTTGTGAGTGGTTTGTCAGATTCTCGCGCTGACGGCTGGTTCACAAACACAGTTCCTAGAATAGAGCAGTACAGATGTGACCGACTTCAGTGCTCAAATGCTAGCCTCCTAGCAAATAGCAGCCTTCTTTGGACCCTCTTTGATTAGCAGCTGTGCTGAGAATGCTAAAATGTAATCAGTAACCTACAATTCTTATTGTTAGTTTCCATTGCTGGTATAACACTGTAATCCATGTTAATAGTGGTATCTTATAATGATTTTGCTGAGATCTGTTATCTGAAAGGAAGACTGGGACAACCATTCAGTGTGACAAAATATTGGAGAAGCAAAGGCTTTGATTGTTAAGAGTGTAAAATAGGTTTATTTAGTGATACCGGATGATTTTTAAATGAGGTAGTACTAGAAATCTTTTCTTCTTATGTTAAAAGAAAGCAAACCATGAGGTACTGCTCAGTTTCCAGCATACAGTGAGATGTTCTGCATGTATCTGGCTTATGCCACTCTCTGAAAGCTTGCAAGTACTTGTATGACAAATGTGAACCCTCTTGCAGAAAAATCTCAGCCTTCTGTCCAGATAAAATACAGCTTCTCAAAACAGGTAGTGATTTTGAAGAATTTGTGTTAAAAAAATTGTGGCAAGTTCAGTTGGCAAAAGATAGATAGTTGGTATGTGTGTTCATTTTTAAAAAGACAAAATTAAGTCCTGGGGTCTTGGTGCTTAGTTTTACAAAGAAACACCACCTTGTTTTACAAACATCAACCAATCCTCCGGACACTCCTTTGCTGCATTAGTACATTATTGTAGGTAAGAGCCTGGGGACATGGGGCAAAAAGGAAAAGCAAGCTTTGCCTTGCAGAGGACAAGTAAAGCTGCGGACTCACAGGAGCCAAAGCACACCATGTACAGAACTGGGATGTCCAGAGATGGGCCGCATCCGAATGACAACTTGATGGGAAATGTTTAGAGTAGATTTGCTTTGAATAATTATATAGGGGAAGAAAGACTTCCTCTTCGAAATGAATGATGTCTCCTTCTTTAATGGTTTAATACAAATTGAGTATCTGGAGACACTCCAGATTTAACTTGCTGCTCTGAAACATGTCTGTGCTCTGGGCATGTAATCCAGAGTAGCTCCACTACTCTAATACGATTTGAATTGAAACGTGGATTTTCCACAATGTACTCTTCCACAGCATACAGATTGCCGGTTCTTCTGATTACATTTCAAGTCTTCCATATTTGGTCATTTTTATTCTTCTAAAGTCACAGGCATTTTTGAGGATATCACCTTTTATGAAAAAAGCAAGCAAGCAAACAGTTTACATTTCAAAACAGTTTTGAAAACATGCTTGAATAAAGTGATTCTTAATACAACAGAAAGTACACAAATTTTATTTTGAAGAATTGAAAATTTATATGTCTTTTTCTCTGCTCCTCACTATTGAATTTTAACAGCAGCGTTGAGTAGTTTTTGTTTTGTTACTTTTTCATAAAGTGCTTCTTGGTAAATGTTACTGGTCATGTTCATTTCACTTTATTTTTTTTCTTCTTTTCTTTCTCCACAGACTGTACAGTTCGTTCAGGGAATTTTTGTTGAAAAATATGACCCAACAATAGAAGATTCATACAGAAAGGTAAAATAACATCATTTTTATTTCTTTCAAGTCTCAAAGAGCTTGCTTCTTTTTAATAATGCAACAAAAGCTTACAGGAGTGAGAAAGGGTCTTTTCTGAGAAAATGTTACGGCTGCATAAAACCGCAGCAGGAAAGCGATGCATAGAAAAGCATCAGTCTTGGAAAAGGTTTCCTTTGGCTTTACAGAGTACTTTATTAGCTTAGGGCCTCTGAGTGCAATCAGACAAGTTGTATCAGCTACTATAAAGCTGAATTATCAGGGAATGACAAATTTTGCTGTTAATTGGACAGCTCCCTAACTTAGTTCTATTGAACAGGAAGATTAAACCTCTTTTACTCCATATAACCAAGAGCTTTCACTCTGTCTCCGATGACTCAAGTTGAGGCAGTTTCAGGCTGCAGCTCTCCACTGTTTGCCTGTTTCTTCATTAGAGGTTACTACACCTGCCCAGAGATCAGTCTGGTGTATTTTCCTGAACCATCACAAACTTCCAGTGGTACTGGGATATGAGCTGAGGTGGTTGGCAGATGAGTGTACTGCTCGTCCTCCTGCCAGTGCTTCTGATTGATGCCTGGGGATGGGAACAGCTCAACCAAACTGGGGTCAGACTGTTACTCAGATCTGTTTGCTGTAATTTGACATATAATTATTACTTCAAAACATAAAGATATCAATATTTGCTATCTGTAGAAGTTGTTACAGAGGTTATATACACCATTCACCACAGCAGGTTATATTACTGTAGCATAGCAATTGCCTTTTGTTGTCTTCTTTTAGGAATGGCTGTTTTGCCATTTAGTTCAAATGCGTTCTGCTTGGTTTGAAGGCATATAAAATTCTTTACGGCCATTTTGGATGCAGGCTTGTAATTGCTGAGCAAAAGTCCTTGTCAGTATCCCTGATGCTGTCATGTTATGTAATTCTATCAACAGAGCTGCTTTCTTCACTCAACTGCTGTCAAGTAACCCATTGTTTTACAGATTAGCATAAATGTTACCATAATTAAAGGCACCAAAACATAAACCAAAAAGTATAAGCATTTGTGCCTATGATAATTAAATGTAAATTGTGGTATGAGTTCTGCTGTGAAATTTATTTGACTTGCCTGGAATTTCCCTCTGAGACATTTCTCAGTGAGTGGAAGACTTGCTAAGCCTAACTGCGAGGATCACTAGATATTTGGCTTTTTCTTTTCTTCCTTACTCCCTTCTCCCCTAGCGGCAATGAAAAATTGAAGTTTAAGGTCCTTTGATTTGTAAGAGTGGATTTTCTCTCACTTAAGTTGAGATGTTTACAACAAGCTGCTCATTTAAGCCTTTATAATCAACAGAGTCCTGGAGCATAAGTGAGCTGACCCAAATGCCTGGCTTGGGGCGTAATTAATCCTCTAATAGCGGTGCCTCTCCTAGCATAGGGAAGTGCAGGTGGCTGGCTTGCTTGTAGAGGTCTTTGTGGCAGAAGTAAAAATTAAGCTGAGATTCCTCTTGCCTGTCCCGTTTCAGACATTTTAGTTCTAACTGCGTTTGTCTCTTCCCTTTTTTCCCCAGCAAGTGGAAGTAGACTGCCAACAGTGTATGCTTGAAATCCTCGATACAGCAGGGACAGTAAGTATAATTTCTTTTTCTGATTGGTATGGAGTTTCTTTGTTAAGAATGAGATGAGATGTTAAGAATAGAACTTATACTGGTATAATAATCCTGCCCGAGCAAAAACAATAGATCAGCTGCAATAATTTCAACTGAATGATTTTGTTAAATAACCCAAAACCCAGTGTGGTGAATGAGCCTTCTGCAGCCCTGCCAGCAGCATTGTGAACCTGCTCCCCAGCTGGTGCCCCAGTGCTGGGATGCAAAGGTTAGTGCATCCTGTGCCACTCACCTCTTCTCTGCCATCCATCGTCTCGCTATCAGCGTACTGATACGGGTATGTTAATTTTGCAAGTGGCCAGAATACACAGACACGGATTGAAGCCACTTCCAGGCAATGCATAGGGATTGTCTCCCGGCATATCACATCAGCCTACGTGGAGAGGATTTAATCAGTAAAGATTTTGTACCTGTCAAGGCATACTCTTCTACCCGGGTGGCACCTGCCTGGTGCTGCCTTGTGCAGCTTTGGGAGGCTCATGTCACCCTTCCAGCCTGAGAGCAGCTGGGGCTGTGCAGCAACTCCCCTTGCCATGCCAAGTCCTGTCGCTAAGTAAACAGACCTTGTAATGGTTGAGTGCACATCACAAGGGGAGGACATGCTTCCTAAAAGTTAGTTTTATTTAGAAAGCTTTGAAAATTATCAACAGCAATGTGAAGGCGTGGAAGCAGAAATCATTGCTGCACAGTTCTGGTAAAGCTTCCTTTCACAGGCTTGGACAAAGGCAGCTCTGATCTGGTACAGATTTTCCAGCCTGCTCTTGCATTTCATTGCATTGAACCTTTAAGCCATTTTCATGCTAGAGGTGACTAGTATATAATTGCCTATGTTCAGAGGTGATCAGGCAGTGCCTTCCCACGCAGTCGTGCTTATAATAAATTGCGAGTGTGTGACACCTAGGCCTGTTTCGGTATTGTGTTAGAGGAGAAAATGAACTTCCAGTCCATATCTGTCATCTGGGGAATTGGTCTGATGGCAGACTCGTGCTTAACACCATATCGGAAAATAAATGAAAGATCACTACAAAATATGTTGGCCAAATCTTAACACCTTGTATTATGGTTTGGGGCATACAACAGTCCATCTGCAGATGTAGTTTTATTTCTGCTCTTGATGTTTTTCCTGTTTTTTTAGGAAGCCTTTTTCTCTATCAGGGAAAAAAAAAAACAAAGGGAAAGAGATGTGTGAATGCTTTTATTAAATTTGCATGCTTCAGTGGATTTCTGTAAGGGATAAAAATGTAAATGCATGCTGTGCGGTACTATATTCTTGTCTCCATTACAGTAAAAGTATTCCTATGTAAATGTTCATTAGCTGCATTCATTAGCTAATTACTTTTAAAAATACTTGATTGCAGGAGCAATTCACAGCAATGAGGGATCTCTATATGAAGAATGGTCAAGGGTTTGCACTAGTATATTCTATAACAGCACAGTCCACATTTAACGACTTACAGGACCTGCGGGAACAGATTTTACGGGTTAAGGACACTGAAGATGTAAGTGGAGTATTTTTTCTTCTGCAAATGGTTAAAAAGTGTTTGTAAGTAAACATACAGGAATTCGTGAGCAGAATTTCTTTCTAAGAATATTCTTTGCTGTATAGCAAAGTTTGTGTTGAAGCAAGTTTCCTTAGCATTGTTTTTTATTTTCAGTGTTGTTATTTGAGGTCCAACACCTGCAATGGGGCACAATGAAACCAGATTTTCACATGTATGGGAAGTCTAAGGGTCTTTGGAAGTGGTGGGAGTTGATTGAAAACAAATTTTTTTTTTCTCCTTTTAACTCCTTTCCAGTATTTGCATTTTCTTCTTTCACTGTGCTTTAGCAGTACTTATTTACTACAAAGTTAAGGAAAAATAATAGCCAAACTTATCAAAAACGATGTCCTTTGTAAATCTGCAGCTGTCTTACAATGGAGACTAACATTGCTTTTCCCAGATGTATGAAGCGGAAATTGAAGTACAAATCCGTGACGTTTCCTGAAGGTCAGCTGTGAAGTCTCTCGAGTCCTGGAGCAGGGTGGTGTTGTACGCGGTGCCCTCTGTGCCGTTCGCATGCGTACGGGTCATAATCCAAGTCGATGAACTTGAACTGCAAATAGAAAGGACGTGTTCAGCTTATTGACCAAACTGTGCTTTGTAATTGAAGTGTCATTAGTATTAATAGCCTTTTTTTGGAAAAGCACTGAGTGTTCCTTTATTTTCACTTCTCTGTGTGAGAGGGCAGCGTCAGCAGGGGCTGGGGGGTGGGATGGGAGCCTGTTCCATCCCCTCCGCTCCGGCTCTGGGAGCTGTTCGTTAGATGGAGTAGCCCTGGGTCTTGTTTCATGAAGCAGAGGTTCCCTTACTGTAGCTGTGCCGAGTGTCTTGGTTTGTTAGCTCTGCTCCTCTCAAATCCCTCAGAACCAGAACTTTTATAGGATTTTAGGTTATTGTATGAAAATGTGCTTATCCCTTTCTGAAGGAAAGGAGGATGTTTAAGGGTCTGTGGTGTGTCACTCCCGTGATGCGTGCGTGTGAGCAGGAAGGGTTCAGCTTTGCACCGCGGGCGTGCGTGCCTGTCCCTGGGAATGGCAGTGGCACTCTGCAGACCGCCTTCACACTCCGAGGTGTTTGAACTCTTCACAGTTGTCTTTGTTCCTTCAGTCACTTGACAAAATCTGTAACCCAAAGGAGATCACACAGTTGTATGTATTAAATCATCAAAAAGGCTCTGGAGGAGTCTTAGCTCCTGAAGCAAGGTTGTAATTTGGGTTGCTTAAATCTCTTTTTAAAATAAGGAAAAATTACCTTAAGATAGTTTGCATTCAGTCCTGTTTGACAGAAGAAAACTATTTACCACGTTTCCAGTTCAGGCCCCAGCTCCTGTAACTGGAACTCCTTGGCAGGCTTTTAATTTCTAAACGTGTGATGTAGGTGAGGTTGGTGGTGGCTTTTGCCACGGTAGCCATGTGGCTGGTGGAGACACGTGGGAACTCTCTGTGTAGGCTTCCTCCGAAAGAAGCTGAAAGTATTTTTTTTTTTTTTTTCCCCTTAACAGTTCGTAACGTATTCGAGGGTTTGCCCTGAGGAGTGTGAAAAAGATTGCCTATTTTATTCCACTGACAGCTTAAAAGTAGCCGCTGCCTTTAATGTCGATTGCTTTGGGGTTGCGTCGGCTGCGTTCTGGCCCCCAGCAGAGCTGTGGAAGCAGCAGCAGCCTCGGGCTCCCAGCCCTCGTCTCCTTGCAGCGCTCCTGCGGCTGGCGGGGAGCGGGGCTGGTCGGCAAACCGGGCTGGGACAGGTATTTGGGCCAAATCCTAGGTAAGCCATGTGCATTGTATTTAAATAGCCATTCAGGAAAATGCAGTTTGAGCAATGAGCGGAGAGGGCTGGGATGAGCACAGCCCCGTGGCTCGGCTGTTCTGGGGCTGGGGGCAACCTCTCAGGGCTGCTGCTTTCTCTTGAGTCTTCGTTGTCCCGTATCCTGATTACCTTGTTTTGAATGGCTTTGGTTCCTTCCTTGGTTTAACAAGCTGAACTTCTATTTATGCAAAACTGATTTTCCTTTAGGTAGGGATTATGCTTGCATAAATCCCCTTTATTAGCCTCTTGGGCAGAGCCCAGCGCTTCGCTCAGCTGCGCTCGCTGGAGGGGAATTTGCACCGTAAGCTGGTCAAGTTCATCGGACAATAGAGACTGTTGCTTTCTGTTTTACTTCAGTGGTTTGATTTAATTATTAAAATGCATTTATTTATTTTGTGTTAGGGGGACGTTACTTGTTGAATCTGAGCTTGAGAACCTTTTGAACATTTAAGCCATGTTCTGCTGAGTTAGGAAAATGCACTTCTTCCTGTATTTAGTTTCAGAATGTGTCTTTTAAAATCCCAATGCTTAAAGCATTAAATTCTGTATGTCTAACAAAGTTTAAATTCCAGTCTTCTGCATGAAATAGTAATTGATCAAAAGCTAGTTGTTCATCACGCTCCGTTTTTGGCTCTATGATAAACAATCGCTACCTTTTGAAATAACCTTATACAGAGTTTCATGTCTTTCAAACCTGCACTGTTTGCCCATCTAAGTATCACTTTTTTTCCCTGTTATTTCACATCTTAATATACTTTATTTTTTTGCTGAACATGTCCAAAACACATTTTCATGTTTTGGTATGAGAAGATTTCTCTTAACTACCTAGAAAACTGTAAACAATGGGATTAAGCTAATAAAGTTGTAACTATCCTGTTGGTCTCTGATAGGAAATAAGCTTTTTTGGATTTGCCTCATGAAGTACTGTGACTTCAGGTTTCTGATGTAATAAGTAAAACTTACTTCTCAAAAACAGAAATGGGATCCTTTTCTAATCAGTATGGCTGTGAGTTTTAAATACAAAAATGAATCCTGAGTGTAGTTGAATTGGGAAGAGACTACAAATATTAGCAATGAAGTAGATTAAAAAAATACAGTGTGTTGTAAATCACCAAAGGAAGTAGATAATGATTTATTTTTCAGCTGGAAAGTACTCATTTTCTGTTCAAAGAATTAAATGCTTCAGGAAATGGAGCGGAGTGCACACCCATTATCAGCAGTTCTTTAGGGTTTTTTTCTATTTCTACATAGCGTAAGGGAAACAGGATGCTGTCGCTGTCGTGTGCATGCAGAGCACTGCAGTGCGTCCTGCAGATCCGGCTGTGGTCTCGCGTTTCAAAATCCACCTTAGCTCTGGCTGTATCATCCCCCAAGATCTACGAGATGCAGGTCGTAAAAGCAAACTTCAAAATGATATGTAAACCACAGCTCTTGGGCGTAGAAAGTCCTGGACTGCGTATCTGTCTCCAAACTGGCTGTGCCAATGTGCAGGCTGGAGCTGGGGAGCCGTGCAGTGCTGGGCTGGGGGCCCCGGCTGTGCGGTCCCTGGGGAAGGGTCCTGCGGGGGGGGCAGGCAGTGACTGGGACTGCGCTGTCGTCTCATCATCTTGTAGGTAGGGTAATGGCACCCAAGGGTAGGTAGTTTTGGTTGTTACAGAGGTTTTTTGGGTGCTTTGGGTGGTTTTTGTTTGCTTGTTTAAGGTCTTTTCTACCGATTTGTGACATCTCGGTGGGCTACAGCTGTGGCAGAGGCTGCCTGAGAAGCAGAGGAAGCCTTATGAAATTATGTATCAGGATGCTATTTCTAAGATGTCTTAGTACTATTTTTAATCTATCTTTTTGCCCAATTTCTTTCTCCTGAAAGAGTATTAATTCAATATCAAAACATAACTGATAAGAGCAAGTCTCCTGCTGCTTATACTCACCAACGCTTACTCTTGATTCTTTCTGAGACAAATGGTTTTATAACTTAATGAGTGCAGACTGCACTTGGCTCTCCGCACTGCACCAAGCAAATACAATCACAGCCCCGGCGAGAAACCGGTGAGCTATGGCTAAGCAAGAGACCCCGTCCTTTCTATTGCCCCTTGTGCCATTTGTGGGAGGGCTGTCCCAGGACCCTTCCTTTCTGTGCAGCCTGATGCAAACACACTGGCAATAAGCATTTACTACAGCCAGGGTCGTTTTCCTACGGTATTAAATTTCTCTGTTTTTCTGTAGGAAATGTCACAAGGAATATGGTTTCCCCAAGGCACTTTCTTCCCCATGAAGGAGCAAGAAAGTGACTCACCCAGATACTTCAGAAAGGCAATAGCTTAAGGAGAGGGGCAGATGCCCTTTCATCATTGTCTTGAACAAATGATTTGCCTGTATTTGCATTGTGGGTGTAGGATGAATCTTTTGAACATGTATCAGATGTTTGTTTTAATATTGCATGAGATTGTTTATTGGAAGTGATGTGCTTTCAGGAGCTGAGCTGCTAGGTGTTCACTAATTGGAAATTTTAATTATCCTAAGCTAGTAAATACTGAGCACAGTGTTTGTGCCTTTTGTAGTGAACATCCTCTTTTCTGTGTGTATGCAAAACATGTCAGTAGTATGATACTGTACTGAGATGAGAAAGGCAGGTCCTGTGTGCAGGGCTGTGGGAATACTTGGCTACATAGGACTATTCCTTTTTATTCCGTGTCCAGGGCAGTGCTTTTCAAAGGTGTTTCCATTTATTGTTGTATGGCTTGACAACAGGTTGACAAGACAGGTCAAAGGGGCTGAAACATATGATATGTGTCTTAAAACACGTGCTATATGTTCTGTTGTCTGAAATAGGCTAAGTTGGCAGGCAGTTTAGCCTACTGTCACATGAAAGTTCTGAAATGCATTTCAGTAGTAAATTAAGTTTTTGACTAGAATGGTGTTGGATGTAGAGACCAGAAAATAAATCTTTGCTAATTTAAGATTGTGCTGAAATATTACCGTTTGGTTTTACGGTGTCCTCCGTGTGTTTAATTCTTAGTGAACCTGGGTGTCTACAGTGTGGACTTTCTCCAACCCTTTCCCACCAGGCATCTAAATCCCAGCTCTGCTGAACTTCTGATTTTTAATGTTTTTCATAGTGTCTATATTTTCCCCCCTCCTCACATGTCTTTGTAAGCCATAGCATTACAGTCCATGTTGTATGTTAACTTGCTGATGCATCTCTTGTTCTTGCTTGTCTCCTCTCCAGGTTCCCATGATTCTGGTTGGCAATAAATGTGACCTGGAGGAAGAGCGTGTAGTCGGCAAAGAACAGGGTCAAAACTTAGCACGACAGTGGTGTAACTGTGCCTTTCTAGAATCATCTGCAAAGTCTAAAATCAACGTTAATGAGGTAACTATCAACTGTTCCTTTGTCTTTCCTGCTTCAGCATGAATACCACATAAAACCAGCATGTGGTCCTTCACGTATTTCTTAATTGGGAAGATTCAGGATGATTCTGAAATCTCAGCCTAAAAAAGGCTTGCGATGCAGCGTATTTAGCTACTGCTATCTGTTTGTTTGAAGGATATCTGCTCCTTTTTCTCTGTAAAGGGTGGGTGACTTCTCCAGGTAAGTGCTTTCTATAGCCTGTGTCAAAGGACATGAATAGCAGAGGTTCCTGAGTAAGCCCAGTTAACTGGATGACTCTTAGCTTAGATAAACTTTATCTGGAGAGTATACTTTTTCCAGATAGCTGCTGCTGCTATTCAGAACGTGGATTATGCCCCATTGTATTACTTGTCATCTTGCATAGTGTTGGCTGCTGGTTTTGAAGTATTTGCTTTTCACATTCCTGCTACGTCTGGCTGCTAAAGCACACATCCCATCACAGCCCTCCTCTGGTAAGCCACTAACTTACTGAGACCGTGTCCAGACCTTATCTGTCTAAGCAGTTCCCCTTGTCTAAATGAGAAACACCTTTGCAATCGGTGTGTCTTTTGCTGCTGCCTGAGGTAGTGTAGTTCTGCTGAGGGGGCTCTGCTTGACATCAGGCACCAAGTTTTTATTCTCTGCTGTGAATTATCTGACTCTGACAGAGGCCAGGTTGCCAGCCACAAAAGCTAAGGTGACCCCATTGAGCATAGCCGGTTTGGTGCCAGGAGATAACTGGGACCGTTTAGGAGGCTGTGTGATAAGCAGGAGCAGTAGGATCTTGGACTGGACCCAGCGTTAATTTGGCAGCAAGTGGGACGTGCACAGCACTGCATCTACCCGGTCGAGAGGGAAGGGAGCTCCAGGCTGCGTGAATTGCAGCTTCTGTGGTTGGGATTAGGCTAGCTGTAATGCGCACTAACCTAACCTGGTAGATACAACTCACTGAGCTAGACTCCTGCCAGAAGGGATTGTTGTGCGTGTCTGAGCAGTAGTAAAACTGTGACTGTTAACGAAGGAGCTAGTGGCTCAGTCATCGGAACAGATCACTATTAGCCAAAGGTGCCTGAAAGCTCTCCTGAGAGCTGTGCGGGAAAGGGGATCCTCTCGTAGGCAGAACACTGAGCTGTCCTGGGGCGAATGCACACCCATGGTTTACATACAGTCATCTTTAACGTGTGAATCCTGTGTCTCCGTATTTCCCTGTTATGTCTACTGCCTCCAGTGAGACTCAGATCATAGAGAAGAAAATTATTATCTGGAAGATTAGTTTCTGGTTTTATTGTGAACTTCATTTTCTAGTTTTCTGCCAATTTATACTGTCTGGCTAAGAAAAGCATAAAAGCTGAGGAAATCAAAGAGAAGAAACACTGTGAATCAAGCAACTTACTGTACTGGTTATTTGTTCTGCTGGCTCATGGACTGGGGAAGTGTTTGCATTATTCTGGGTTTTGTTTCTGCTTTTTTGCTACTTTTGGACTTTCTAACTTTCTTAAAACCTAGGCTAAAGGGTAATAAATTTCTACGTGCATTTGCTGAAAGTGAAACAAACCTTTCATCCAGATAATAAGCTTTTAATACAGAGTCAATCTCAGTAGCAGCACTTCAGGTGTCTTTCTGGTGACCGGTGTGATGCTCTTGCACCACACTGACTGTTCTTAGGGATAGTGGCATTCCTGAATCCTTGTTGCAGACTTCTGTACTCACAGTCAGTACTAGCGCTTAAATGATCTAACTTGAGATTTTTTTTCAGAGGGATTTTTTCCCCCCCTACCTTAGCCCTGTGAGAGGGGTGTACCTCAAAACATTCAAGGATCTCGTTTGCAAGAGCAGAGATGATTGGTGCCTTCAGAAATTCAGACTCCTCCTGCACATCATAATCACATTCAAATCATCTTGGCTCTTGTTTATAAAAGCTTAAATACTGAAAGCTGTTTTGCATCAGCATAGAAGATGCCACTTATTAATTGGTTTCTCCTACAGAAACTTTTTCTTTGTATCTCACCTGTACATTTTTTAATGTCTTGGCTGTGTCTGTTGGAGAGTACGAACTGCCACTTTTGCCAGAGGCTGACAGTAGAAAACAATAGCAATAAGCTTAGTAAAGGAGTAGCATGAGCAACTCAAATGCTATTATAAAATATTTTACATGAGGGCTTGATAAAGCTGCCATCACATTAATTTCATTTGAAACTATTTAACTGTGCACCAGTGCTTTTTCATGTAGGTAGTAGCCAGAAAATCTTGACTTTCCAGTTGCAATTTGTTATAAACTGTTTCTTTGTCTTCTGAATTTCCTTGGAATCAACAAGAATTTGTGAGCTGTCAACCACTCCAGGAAGGAAAAAAGTAAACAAGGACAAGGGTGGAGCTTTCTGAAGGTTTAAATATTTTTCCTCAATATTGTGACCTGGCTCTGAGCATTTTTGCAAAGCTCATTTTGCTATAAATGGGTTGAGTATTGCTGGGGAAACCACTCACAGCAAAAGTGTTCACAAGAAACTTGTCTCTGAAGCTGAAAGAGGCCCCTGTACTCATCCCCTTGTGGAAGTGTTTGAGTTCAGGGCAGATGTTTTGCTTCTCCTTGCTAATTTTATTAATGAACTGAAAAGATTAGATCAGGCAAAAAGGTGAAGCGATTAACAAGTCAAATCTGTTTGGCAAAAAGGGATGCCTTTCCCTACAGTGAGAATACGCTGCTGCTGGCGTAGCAGCGCTCTGCAGAGACACTCACCAGCCCAGGGAGCACCAGTGAGAAGGTGATCCTTAAGGATATTATGCTTGTCTTTTAAACAACCTTTTGTCATTTCCCAGTTTTCTCTCAGTTTTCCAAAGCAAGGGATTTGTTGCAATTTCATTGCTGTACTCTTCTGATGCCTTTAGTCGTATGCAGCCTGAGGGAGAAAGCTGCATGCTGCAGGATGTGAGTTACAGCTCCCTTGTATTCTGCACACTGATGTGAGCTCTGCACTCTCTTTTTCCATAAGCAGTTGCTTGAGAAACATGTTTAAGTAAATGTAAGCAGTTTAATTGAATTTATAAGACTGCAGCCACCAGGAAGAGTATCAGCTTGCCGACCTGCCTAATTTTTGACACTTGCATAGTGTTTTATCACTTTGATTTTTCAGTTTGTGTTTTTCATTTTCAGATCTTTTATGACCTGGTCAGACAGATAAATAGAAAAACACCAGTGGAAAAGAAGAAGCCTAAAAAGAAATCCTGTCTGCTGCTTTAGACTCCCATCATGCAGCAGCTCTGAGCCAGGTAAGAGGTGTCTGAATTCTACCTACAGCTCAGGTGATCAGACTGTGAGCTGCTCCCAACAGAGAGAGGACTCACTCCCCTTCTCTCCACCCCTCTTCCTTCTGTCTGCTCCCAAATACAAAATTCTGCTTTTGTTGGACTTCTTTTTAAAAGTCAGTTGTACTGACTGACCTGGCAGAGAAGTATCTGTTTCTCTTCCTTTCTGCTTTTGCTTGGGTTGGTGAGTGTGACAGAGCAGGAACATCCTTTTTACTCTTGCAGCTTCTCTCTCCGTCTTGTGACACCGTGCTCTGAGGCGCCATGGCTCAGTTTTGCTTCCTTTTTATCCTCTGCTGAAATTTGGTACCATCTATGTAACTTGTGTTCTTGCTGCAGCTGCTGTCTCAGTCCTAGGTGCTATGGGGACAATTGCAAATTGTTTTGGGTGGGACATGGATTTCAATGGCACAGAATTAAAAAGCTACCCACCAAAAAAAAAAACGCCAAAGCAAAAACGAAAACAAAAAAGGACATAGCTATAAATAATCTTCCTGTGTGTCTTGGCAGGGTACTGTGTGTGCTTGCAGCTGTTCTATCACACTGCTGAAAGAAAACAGCATTTCTGTAGCTTCAGGTTTTGGACAGGAATATCACCTAGGCTGCCCCATGAGCTGTTAGCGTGTTAGCACACGAGTGTGCTGCGTGGCATCGTTCGGAGGCAGAGAAGGGTGCGGGGTAAGCGGCCTATCTTGGCACTAAGAAGCCAGAAATGGTCAGAAAGCAAGCAGATTATCCTAGATGGTGGTTGTAGCACAAAGCACGTTCAGCCTGCGAGCGCAGCAGCCCGGCCCTGTAGGGACGAGTTGGGGAGGGATGAACTAAGCTGCAGTGCTCTGGCTGTGCCGGCTGCCTTCATGATCTTAGGCTGCACAGGGTGTCAACTTCTGATGATTTTTGTGACCCATCAGAAGCTCTGATTCTGTTTTTTAGTTTCATAAATAGGTGCAGTGTAGTGGGCAAAGCAACTCAAGTGCCCTTGTCCTACAGACAAACTCCTGGTCGTAGAGGGATTTCGGGGATGAATTCCTGAAAACAGGTGGCTCTCTGCCTTCTGCCAGATCAGAAGTTCATGCTGTAGATGGCCATTTATGTAGCCTAGGCGTGATTGAGTAGGATAAGTGGAGCTATGCAGTTAACCTGACTTCTAATGACTTGTGCTTTATTGATTGATGAGTCTCTTATCCTGAGCTTTGAATGCCAGAAAAATAATAGCTTAGGGTTGTGGGGAAACAATGGCTTTAGGAAAAGAAATTGAAGAGTGTGTCTTAAGTGGCTTTTCCTGTTCCTCAGGTGATTTATCTGAATTTAGCTAGTGTGGCGTCAGCCAGGGTGACTTCTTGGGGACGGGCTTCCCCAGCCCTGGGGAGGACGTGCTCCCTGCCAGGCTCGGGGCAGCTCTGCCCTCGCCCTCCTGCCCGGATCCCGTGCTGCAGAGCCCAGCGCCAGCAGCCGTGCAGCACTGCTGAAGGAGTTCCTGCATTCAGTCAATTACTGATGAGGCTTCTCATAACATTGTCTTCTACTGATGGCCCCAAATCTATCTGCTCTAGATGGTCAGAATACTTCACGGTGTCTCCCTCATTCTTTGTAAATCTCTTCCCAATTCATTGCCTGTTGCTCCAGCTGAAACAGGGCTCGGGGAGGTCTCCAAGTCCTTAGACTTTAAGAGCATCTCAGAGATGGAAAAGATGAAATCCCTCTCCCATAAATTGTTCATCCATTGCTGAATTCAAAATCCACTTGAAGGCTGCCTGTCTCGTAAAGGAGATGTGTTGGAAGGGCACTATCGTTATCACAGCAGAAAGACAGGGTGGTGGCTGTCTGTCACTGCTCTGCTGCAGTCATGATAAAACAAGAACTCGTTTCTTAAGAGTTTCTGAAGTCTCTTTTTCTTTCTGTACGTCCAAACTCAGAGGACAGTAGGAACAAACCCCAGTACTGCAAGAAGATAAGCTCTTCTTGCTGAAATGCTCTGTGTTTTTACAAGCCTGGGTGCGGGCAATTGCCTGGGGAAGCTTTAAGGCCTTTGTTCAAGATCATTCATCTCATGGGTAGGATGAGAAACATTCTCTCCATCATCTTTTTTTACTTTTTTCTAGATTGCAGGAATGAAGAACTGTTGCCTAAATGGAAAGTGCCAGCATTCCCGACTTCAAAACCTTATGGAAATTAATGACATATCTGAAGAAACTTCTCCTGTTTTTATATACTATGAGAAGAATTTAGATCTTAAAATGGTTTGCACACAGTCCCTGGAAAAAGAAATTGCTCTGTGTATATCTCTTGGAAATCTAAGACAATAGTACTCCTCCTTTGCAATAGCAGTTAACAGCTGTGAAAATAAATATAATTGACTCTAGTGTATGATTATACAAAGGAGCATGGATGCATTTCAAATGTTAGATATTGCTACTATAATTAAAATTTCATATTGACCCTTTTATCATAATTTCTCCCCATCAAGCACTAAAAATGTTCCACCATTATATTTTATATCTATAACTATAGATATATATTATCTGAAATTTCCCTTTGAACTCACTGCAACAAGTAACTTTTTGAGTCATTGACTTCATTTTATATTTAAAAGTTACGGAATATCATTATTTTCATTCTGCCATTATATTCTAATTAAAAATGTTTGTGCATAATGCTTTGGAAAAATGGGTCTTTTATAGGAAAAACTGGGATAACTGATTTCTATGGCTTTAAAAGCAAAAATATATAATATACTAAACCAACTCTAATATTGCTTCTTGTGTTTTACTGTCACAGATTAAATTACAGCTTTTATGAATGATTAAATTTTAGTACATTTTCATTTTGTTTCTGTGTTTTTGTTATGGTTTCCAGGCTTTGGTTTTTATCCATGTTTTGTGAATGCCTCTTCCATTCTGGTAGATCAAGTATTTTATAACAAATGCCACCAGTATGTCATTATGCTGATGAGATGTCTTCACGCACCCTCCGCTTTGGATGTATTTAATCATACCACACACTAAAGTACAGAAGGCTACTTTTAATTACTTTTGTATATTCTTTTGAATGTTTGAAGATTGTATTCTGCTGAAAATATTTCCTCTGTACAATTATTTTTATATGTACAAATTTGGTTGAATACTGTATCAAGGTCTGACTTTTATTGTGATCCTCGGTTTCACACGATCGTGTACTTTTTGGGGAGAATCCCTGTTTTGACGATGCCACCCGCTGGGCAGGAGCCCGTCATGATCCGTCATGGTCAGCATCTCGACACGAAGCTGTGGAGTTGAAAGTTGGTTCTGTCTAAATACAATTTCAACAAAGCAAATATCTGCTTTACACTTTTAGACAAAATCTGGCTAATGTTACCTGATCTGCACAGTCAGCTGAAGGGGCTTTTTGTTTCCTTTTGGGTTTGTTTCTTTTTTTTTAAATACCTGTTGGTTTCATAAAGTTTAAAAGAGCAGGATACAAAGAGACCCGTGGGTGCTCAGCCTCGATCCTCCTGTGTATATGCAAGTAAAAGAACCGCCTTTGGGACCTATGGGGCCCAAATCACATCCTCAGTGTGATGCTGCTGGAATTCCTGCAGTGTTGGAGGACTTGCTCCTGCTTCGCTTCTGAGTAAGTGAGAAGAGAAATGTATCTTCACAGTGGAGAAAACTCAGGGCAGACTTTGTCCTGGTTGTTTAAATGGGAAATCTAAATGTAATAGCTGGTGAGCAGTTGTTCCTGGACCCCTTGTATAGTTTTATTGGAAACCAGGGGGGAGAAATTTCTATAAATAGGTTTTTCTAAAACTGTCTTACTGATGCAGCTCTTGAATTATACAGAGATCCCAGTTTCTACATGCAGCCCAAACAAGACTGGATGAAAATATTTGGATGACGATAATGTGAAAACATCTGCCTACTTACAAGCTACTAGGACAAATGTAGTTATTTAGCTGGTTGTCTTCAACCTACCCATGTGCTTCCTTTTTCAGGAGGAGCAGAAGCAAGGTATTTGCAGGTTGGTTATCTTTACTAAATGTAAAAATATTTTAGTAATAAAGTAATTTTAATGTACCTGCTGATTGGTAGATGTCTCTTCTATAAAAACAGAAACCTAACCTTCATTTTCTAGGTACGGTGCGGTATGTAAGTTCATCAAACTTTATTCGTAAATGCCAACTGTGTTTTATACAGAAGAGCTGGCTCCGTTATCTACTGCCAGCAAAGCTGGGGGTGTGCGGTGACGGGGGTGCTTAACCTGCCGGTGCTTTTCCACGTCACTTCTCAACTTTGCATCTCGGCAGCATCTCCCAGTCCAGCCATTCCACGGTGGAACTGGTTGGTCTGGTGAAGGCAAGTCCGGCTACTTCCATGGTGTTTTTTGTCTGTAGCAGGATCTGCCTGGAGCATGTCACGGCCCGCTCCCAGAGCGCTGAGCAGCAGCGGGGGTGTCCCAGGTGCTCCCCAGGAGATGCGTCTGCTCCATTCACCCCGTCTCCTGCATCCGCTGGAGTGCGAGAGAGGTTCGTAGTGGATGCTGCCTTCCCGGGAGAGGTGGGGATGCTCCCCGGGAGAGGCAGGGATGTCAGGCTGAGCCTGGGAGGCCCTTGGGGTTGCAAAACGAGTAGTAAACGTGGTGTAAGGGCTGGAGGAAGAGGTCGACAGCGGGGCGGAAAGTCTTCCCGAGCCTGTTGGCGTTGCCACTAGGTGGTGGTGTCGGAAAACACGCGGGGCCGGGCGGCGGGGGACGCGGCGGCGGCGGCGGCGGGGGGATGCTTCGGCCCCAGGAGGGCTCGGTGCCCTTCCCTTCCTACCTTGCAGAATGAGTGGGGGTTCTCCCTGGGGAAGAGTTTTTCTTTTTTTTTTTTTTTTTTAATCTAATGGATTTCAGCACAATAGCCCGAATTCTGCCCTTGGATACACTTCAGCAGATGCTGCATAGTTTTATGTGCAAACAGAATGTGTCCTAAAGCACTTGGTGTTTAATGTTTCACTGGGTTAAAAATGAGTTAACTGAAGAATGTCCTAAAGAAAGGTTAAAATAAAAACCTTCTGGAAGCAATTGCATGCTTCTGCTTTTGACCAGCATCCAACCAAGAAAAGTAAGATTTTGCTCTGAGGAAAGGAGCACATTTAAAATTTCAGTGAAGCCCCACAGTCCCCAAAGTCCAGCTCCTAGTTGTGTTGATTTGAGCTGTGCACAAATTCAGCCAAAGTGATTCACTGCTGTCTGTGCAAATACGCTGTTCTTAAACTTCTCTGCCTGTATTTATCTATCTATTTTCGGTGTTTCCTAAAGGTTATTTTAAATCACGTTTTCCCATCTAGTGTGGGTTGGGCCAGACAGTAACTGCTCGGTGATGCCCTGCCTTGCTGGAGAGTTGTAGTTGCAAGTTTTGGTTTTAATCCAAACACACAAGCGAAGCAGGAGCTGTGGCAGGAAACGTCATGTCGTCTTCAGAGAGAGCAGCGATGCTGGTGCACGTGTGATTTGTTCCGCTGCCTCTGAGCTGCGGAGACATTCTTGATGTTGCAGTGCGCTGATGAGCGAGGCCTCGCATCCAGCAGTGACACGAGAAAATTCATGTTAGGTTCAGAGTTAACCTTTGCAAAATCACCAAACCTAATGAATGTTTTATTTATTTTGCCAGGACTAGGCACTGAAGAAGTGAAATTGAATTTTACAGTGGACCAGGCGCCATTCAGTAAATGGCCAGGCACGTGCCGGGCCATCCTCCCCGCTGCGTCTGGGAGCCGGCACTGGTTTCCTCTGCAGCAACTGCTCGGTGCTCTGGCTTTCGCCTCCAGCACGGTCTGCCCAGCATGGTGCAGAGACTGTTTCTGGTCCTCCTGGAAAGAAAACCCCCAAATTCAGAGACGAGCCCTGTGCAGGAGGAGGGAGAGGAGCTGCTCCTGAAGGTCCCCAGCAGCATCACGAAGCTGCGGCACAGAAAAGAAAATGCCCAGCAGTAAAAGCAGTGCTCAGCTGAGCTCGGTGCCTGTGGGGTTTCCTGGACTTTTAACTTGGGTTTGTTACAGGTGAAGGCATTCAGCGGCCAAGGCGCTGTGCTGCGGTTTGTGATGGTTTCACCCACCGCTCACCTGGAAAACCCGTTCCCCTTCCACGAGGGCGGCTGCTGTGAGCAGGGACAGGAGCTGCTCCTGCCTGCACCTCGGAGGGGTTCCCGGTCCGCCGGGGCCGTGCGGGACTTCCCTGCCCCTGGTCGGAGCTGGGGACGGGCAGGTTTGGGCAGTGAGTGCCCGTGGGGCGAGGGGCTCCCAGCTCCCCGCCTGGGGCAACTCAGTGCAGAGCCCAGAGCCGGCTCTAGAAACAATCTAATTAGAGGCTACGCCAGGGCTAATTAGCCATGCTGCAAGCTCACAGCAGCCCTGGCACAGTGCTGTGCTAATGTGGCCGCTCCTGGCTGAGGCCCGGCTCTTGCCTTTAGCTCAGTTACTTGCTAATGCCAGTGTTGGGAAACAGTGTTTGTATTATCCTGGGATTGAAACAAGCCTTTTCTCCCTCACTTTGCAGAGAAGTGGCACACAAGTAAACTCGGCTCATTCCTTGTGCCTGTCAGCAGCAGGTAGAGGCCAGAACGGTGAGTGATACCCCGTTATCCACGTTGCCCTGGATCCTCTGTCCCTCATCTCCAACAGGATGCGCTTCGGAGGGAGCAGCAGAGGGAGGTTAAATCATTTGTCAGAGATTTTGGACAAGTCGGTGGCAGAGCTGGCCTTGCAGCCCCGTGCTGGAGTCCGAGGTGCCCGTCCTGCTGGCTTGCCCGTGCCAGCTCTTGGCTAAATCCCAATTGCACCATGCCCTTTGGGGACAGAGGAATCGTGTGCCTGCCCCGTAGCGCTGGCCCCAGCACAGCCGCTCTCGCGGTCCCAGGCAGAAGCCTGAGTTCAAACATCCGTGGCATTTTCTTTGGGCGTTACCAACGTTTAAGGCCGAAAGCAAGCCCCCTTACTGGCATGTCACGACAGCTCGGGGGTGAATAAGGAGCCTGTTGTGCTGCGGAGGGGAGGATGCTCCGGGCACTGGCAGCGCTCCCGTGCTGCGTGCCCACGGGGAGACGGCCGCGGCACGTGGGCTGGGCGGCAGCAGCAGGGCACGCACGGCCGGCAGCTGCTCTCCGCTCCCCACGATCAAGCGACAAAGGACAAATTCATGGGGCCGAGAGCGGCTCTGCGGGCTGAGCACACTGGGGCATTATGGAGCTGGGTGAGGCAGGGCCGGGCAGCCTCTGGCAGTGGGACGACCACCTTGTGCTGTTCGGGACCACCTTTGCTCGCAGGATGCTGCCAGAGGCTCTCGGGATTAATTTCCGTGGCGCACTGCTTTGCAGCCAAGAAATCTGAGAAACCCCTGGGTGTCCTTCAGAAGGGCCCCATGGAGAGCAACAGCCACCGCGAGCTGAGCTCCTCAGCAAAATGGAAGTTAACAATAATTTTGCTTTTTTTTCCCTGCAAAGGTTTTAAATATCAATCAAGTTTCTTGCAACCCATTTTGAGTGAATGATGGTGGAGCTGAATGAAAGCAAGCAGTGTCGCAGCTCTGCTGCCCTTTCCTACCCAAGTTGTTACAAATCATTGGACAAACTGACTTCAGAGATGTTACACCTTTACTCAACCTTCCCCATGGTCGGTGTGTGGATATAATGTTTTGAGGGCCACAGGCATCCAGCATTCTATGACCATTTTTCATTTAGCTTTGGAAATAAGCAGTGTCAAGCTGCTGTGTCAGTGTGGCTTAAATTCACAGGAGAACTCATTTGATTTGAAGCAGTTTATGTTATTAAATATGACTGCACAGGAGCCCCTGCAGGGTAATCCTCTATGA